GTCAAAAAGCCTGTGTTTTTAGGGTTATTAAAAAAGTTTGTGTACTCAGACCAGTAATTTTTGGGGTCAGAAGTTTTTGCCATGGATGTTTTGTGGGTCACAAAATAAAAAGTTTGGGAACCACTGTTTTAGACCACTATTCTTTACAAAACATCTCTAGTTCATTCAGGTTTGATGGTTTCACCACAGACAGCTCTCTTTAAGTGACACCAAAGATTTTCAATAATATTCAGGTCTGGGGACTGAGATGGCCATTCCTGAACATTGTACTTGTTCCTCTGCATGAAAGCCTTTGTAGATTTTGAGCAGTGTTTAGGGTGGTTGCCTTGTTGGAAGATCCAGCCCCGGCTTCAGCAGCTTCAGCTTTGTCACTGATTCCTGGACATTGGTCTCCAGAATCTGCTGATATTGGTTGGAATCCATGCGTCCCTCAACTTTAACAAGATTCCCAGTCCCTGTACTGGCCACACAGCCCCACAGCATGATGGAATCACCCCCACATTTTACTGTAGGTAGCAGGTGCTTTTCTTGGAGTGCTGTGTTCTTTTTCCCTCTATGCATAATGGTCCTTGTTCTGCCTAAATAACTCTATTTTAGTTTCATCAGTCCACAGCACCTTACTCCAAAATGAAGCTGGCTTGTCCAAATGTGTTTTAACATACCTCAAGCGCCTCTGTTTGTGATGTGGGCAGAGAAAAGGCTTCCTCTGCATCATTCTTCCATACAGCATCTCCTTGTGTAAAGTGCTGAATAGTTGAACGATGCACAGTGACTCCATCAGCAGCAAGATGATGTTGAAGGTCTTTGGTGCTGGTCTGTGGGTTGACTCTGACTGTTCTCAACAGCCTTCGCTTCGGTTTATTCCAGATTTTTTCTTGGTCTGCCACTTTGAGCCTTGACCTGAACTGTGCCTGTGGTCCTCCATTTTCTCACAATGTTTCTCACAGTGGAGACTGAAAGCTGAAATCTCTGGTAGCTTTCTGTATCCTTCCCCTAAAACCATGACGGTGAACAATCTTTGTTTTCAGCTCATTTGAAAGTTGTTTTGAGACTCCCATGATGCGACTCTTCAGAGAAGATTCAAATAGAAGAAAAACCTGCAATTGTCCCCCTTAAATGCCCTTTCTCATAATTGGAGTCCCTTTTGTATGGAGGCCGAGGGTCACTGAACTTACCAAACCGAATTTAAGTTCCAATAATTAGTTCTAAAGGTTTTGAAATCAATAAAATGGCAACGGTGCCCAAATTTATGCACCTGCCTAATTTTGTTTAACCAATTATTGCACACTTTCTGTAAATCATATCAACTTCATTTCACTTCTCAAATATCACTGTGTTTGTCCCCTATATGATATATTTAACTGATTTTTTTGTCCAAACAATCAATGATTTATAAAGGTAAATCAGGAAAATTAACAAGGTTGCCCAAACTTTTTCATATGACTGTATATGTTGATATGCCGCTTAAAGCTTTACTCCAATAGAAGTGTAAACTAGTATATACAGGGGTGTAGTTAAGACTGTGTTTGAGTTTTTGATCACATCCCCAGGCGACTCGGTATTTTACATTTATCAATGATATGGTGCATGAAGAAAAGCTCTGATMTCTCCCAAAGGCAGTAACACACATTTTTTTTCTGTGCTCATTTACACATCTTGTGCATGCATTCAAATATGCACAACATAATTCGCAAAAGAGAATTGCCTGAGGTCAGGCTGATGAGTTCAAACTTATTGGTTTTAGATGTTAAAAAGAGGGCAGCTAACAAAAACATGAACGCCTGAAGGAGAATATCTTTTTTTAGTGTTGTTAGTGGAGGTCTCCCTTTTACTGTATTTTACCTGAATATACTACAGTAGCACATAACTTTAACACCTTTGACATGTGAGGTTAATTAAATAAATACATCCTATTAACACAATCTCATCTATTAACATCTCTCTTCTGGTAGTTGAGCTGATGTAGCTTAGCAGGTGTACAATGATGGCTATCTGCAAAGTTTAGCTCAGTTAAAAGAAAAAAAAAATTGGTTACTTTTTCTCCATTAACAAAAGTGTCATTCGGCTTAAAAAAAAAGTCAAAACTATGTCTAAATTCGTGATTTTAAGATATTTCTTTTATGCACGATGTCTGTATGAGTGACGGAAAAGAAATAAATGACAATTATCTTAACAAAGAAAAATAGTAATCACAGACATCTTACTGTTTTAAACAACAATCAAAGCTATTTAAATACAGATGTCAAAGTTAAATGGGTGATTTAGTGCATTAATAAGTGTCACAGACATAAAAAACAGATGTCAAACATTTAACACAAGCACAACATGAAGTCTCATTTTTACAGAGTGAATTACATCTACAGTTAGAAATGTATTAAAGCATTTGAGGTTTACCAAACTGCTTTCAAACCTAACTTGAACTTCTTTCTGTGGCAGAGTGGTTAGGGGAGTCGTCCTGGAACCGGAAAGTCATCGGTTCGATCCCCCGTTCCAACTGCCTCAGTTGTTGTGTCCTTGGGCAAGACACTTCACCCCTAATGTCTCTGATGTGTGTCTCATCAGTGTCTGAATGTGATTGGCACTGATTAGTCTTCATGGATGATTGTTCATGTTAGCTTTGTAGGAGATCTGGTAGAGTGCTGGGTGAAAGGGTAAATGAGGGCACAGATTGTAGTGTGAAGCACTTTGAGTGTCCTGGTTGGGTAGAAAGGCGCTATATAAGTACAGTCCAGTTACCATTTACTTCTGTCACTCTTTCCAAGACAGAAAAAAGGCAGGTTTTTGTAAAGGCTGTGGCAGCTGCAGGAACGCACCTTTGCTGCTTAACTGGACTTGACTTGCAGATGACTTGATGATTATCTGRTGATTCACATTTGTGAATCACCAGATAGTGTTAAGAAGATCTCATCATGCACCTTTGTCATTTAACTGTTTTTACTCGTGATTATTATGACCCCCCGCACGCGAAGCGTAAGCGAGAGTCATATTGTTTTCGTACTGTTTATTTTTTATTTTTGTCAGTGATTTTTGGTCAGCCGTAGCCCAGAAACGGCTGCACCAATCAACGTGAAATTTGGCAGGGCTGTAGATGAGTCCRACCTATATTGCATCAGCCATGGTTTTATGATAGGCCCCATATTTGAGGAGGGGGCTCCTTTCAAAGAGGGGGTGTCAGGACATGCAAAAATACTTATAACTCAGAAACTGTTCAACATTAAAGCTTCAGATTTCTTTTGTTGTTTAGCTCTGATGAAGCTCTATCCAGTGTTGTGGATTTTTTTTTCAAATCTCACAGTATTTTAAAAACTCAGCTTCAAATATATTTTATATCTTAGAGCCTGTAGGATGTAAAAAYTCTGAAAATTATGGATTTCTGAGGGTGATGATGCAGGTAAACACCCAGCATGGATGACATGTACATGGTACTGGTAAATGGTACTGAACTTATAGAGCGCTTTTCAAGTCCCTCCGGACCCCCAAAGCACTTTACACTAACAGACATTCACCCATTCACACTCACATTCAAACACTGATGATGGCAAACTACACTGTAGCCACAGCTGCCCAGGGGCACACTGACAGAGGCGAGGCTGCCAGGCACCGGTGCCACCGGACCCTCTGACCACCATCAGTAGGCAAGGTGGGTAAAGTGTCTTGCCCAAGGACACAACGACTGAGACGGCTGGACGGGGGATCAAACCAGCGACCTTCCGGTTCCAGAACAACTCTCCTAACCACTCCGCCACAGCCRCCCATACCTGCCAAGCTTTATAAAAAAAGAAATTAAATGTTAAAAAAAGTTGAACTTTACATGTGCAGCTAACAGCCACAGTCAGCCTGGAGCTGCCAGCAGACTGCCCTCCCAACCCTCTTTAAATGGAAGTAGCCAAAGTTTGTTCAACACATCGCTGCCTTTATTGTTAATTGCATTTTAAACAATATGCTGCTAAAGTTGTTAGACTGGGAGGGATTTGGGACAAGTTATTAAAGACAGTGTCAAATTGTTTAGTTGTTAACTTATATTGTCAAATTTTTATATCTTGTTAAAAAATGTAATAATAAAAGCAACAAAATGTTGATTTACCTCTTTGCCCTAACTCTTTTGACATGAGTCGTAAAGCACTCAGTGGACCAGATCTTAGTGAACTGTCTTCGGAGAAATAAATAAATAAATAAATAAATAAAATTTAATAAAGTGGTTCATGCATCCATATTTGAAGACCCATCTCACCAGTGAAATTATTGCTGTACTTGCTTATCTGTAATCATTCAAAAAAAAAAAAAAAAGAGGAAATGCTTAAGGGAGCCCTTAAGCTTTTTATAGCTTTGAACAATAATGAGAACTTTAGTTTTCCAGCAGTGGAGTCAAAGATGAAAATATAGTTTTTCACATTCACTTGGGCATTAGAGCTAAATTAAAACAAAGAACAATAAAGTCAAGGTTAACTTTAAGTCTTGAACAAGTCTTTGAACAACTCATCTTTGCACTGTTTCTCCCAACGGTAAAATAATGGCACTACTGAAGAGATTGTATAGTCTTTGCACAATATATAATCATTATAAAGAAGCAGACTGATGGTAATGAGTTTTATCTGTCTAGAGAATCAAGTGCTTATGAATCATAATCTAAAATACTGCCTGTAACAGCCCATTGCCTACATTAAAGAATGTCCTAATAGACATACACAGTTAAAAAAATGTTTTATATGCTTAAAATGGTCTTTTTAGGAATAGTTCTCTCACCAATTTATTGAATATAACTCCACAAACAGTGAACTTAAGG